TTCAGTCTGAAAGAAATGCCATATTGTTGTTAGTATTGTGACTTTTTTCTTTTTGAGGAAAATATTGCAAGCAAGGGAGTTTTTTCTCTGCCTTAATCTATCAAGTCAATCTTTGGCAGGGTCGTCCTTAGGATTTATGGTGCCCTACCCAAGATTATTAAACTGGTGCCTTTATGCCTGACTTGCTCTTCCACCCCCTACTCCCTCTCCTTCCCAGAGACCCCAGCAGCCAATCCTCTCCCTCAGACTGTACTGCAGGCAGTGCATTTGGCTCTCTAGGATCCAGCCCTGCTGTTACATGCTCCACTGCTTACCGTCATAGGTGTGCACAGCACATTTCATTAGGGTGTGCACCCAAAATTTTTTTTTAAATGTACTTTTACCCCCATTAGCCACACCCCTGGAGGCAACACTCTCAGGGCAACATGGACACATGACCAAAAGTAAAAGGTGTCACGTGACACCCCCACCCAAGGACTTTTCCTACCATCCTCCTACCGATAGGGATTAGATTGGCCCCCACCAAATCCCCCTCATGCAACTATCCTGCAATTGCATTAACCCAGTGTGTATGACATTAACTCAGGGGCGGAGAGGCTGGGCGAAGTGTTCCCTCCAAGAGTTTCCTCCTATGAGCAAAATGAGTGTCGTGTTGTACACCAGTACTGAGTTCACATGGCTTGTTTGGATGTGCCACTGTGGCACCCAAGTTATTAATAAATATCTTATAAAACTCTACCTTTTCCCTCTGCTGCCATGTCTCCTCCCTTTGCTCCATCAGCTCCCCTGGTGCTTGCTGCCCCCAACCCTTCACCCTCCTCTGCTGTCCTGAGTCCTGCCCTTCTCACTGCCCTCAGCCCTCCTGAGACCTGCCCCCTCCACGATCATGTGAGCTACCCCTCCTCATCTCCTCTCCTAACACTTCCCTCTACACACCTGCCCCGCCTCTCTCCTCTGGTGCTGGTCCCTCCCCTGCAGGTGTCTCACCTTCTGCTTCACCCCCAGAATCCCCTGGCACTTCCACCGTCCCTTACCCCTGCACCCTCCTGGTGCCTCTCCCTACCCTTACTGCCCCAGCCGCCCTCTTTTTCCCCTGATGCCCACCCCCTCACCACTCTCTGCCCCCATTTCCCTCACACCCGTGCCCTCACACACAGCTTGCTCTATCCCCACACCTCTTCTTTCAAGCCTTCTCCCAGCACCTCCCCCTCCCCCCTCTAGCCCCCAATGCCTTTCCCCTCTCCTCTCCCCTCCCAGCATCACCCTGTCCCCCTTCCCACTGACACCTCCCCTTCTGGCTTTTCCCTCATTGTCTGCACTTGGCCCCCTGCCATTCGTCTCTTGGTGCCTTCCCCTTTCTTCCCCTCCCCCTCTCCACCAACCCCTTA